AGGCATTCTCAGAAATGCGTGCCTTGGTGGTCTCCTGCTTGTGCTCGTGCAGTACGTTTGAAACGTGCTGCATGGGGCAGGTACCGGTACAATAGAAGCACAGAGAGACTTCTTGATTTTAAGCAGAGCATGCGATCGCTCGCCGTGTCATCCGTGATGCTAAACGCACTTGCTGGCGGATTATGTCTCCACCATCACCTCTGCTTCCTCTATGAGTGCAGTCTGGAAAAAAGTTTCGAAAACTGAGTGGTAAATATTTCCTGACCCAGCTCCTGTTCTGGGGGTTGCGGTGTTGATATAGCAAAACCCCCTAGTGTTGCCAATGAAATTGGCAATCATTTGGGCTGTATTCTCAGGGACTCCATCTATGCCCCTCATTTCTTTCCTCAAAGTCTGCCAAAAGAGTTAGCACCCTTGGACTTTTCTTCTCTCAGAGAAGAACAGTATAATTGCCTTTTAAAACTTCAAGAACTGGATGGCAACACTCTCAGCTTGCCGAAACATCGGCAGCTGGGCCGACGAAAATTCATTTCGTATGCTACAACTACATCAGTCAGCCCTTCAGTCCTATTACCGCCTTTACAAATCTTATTTGGTCACAAGGAGTTCTTCCACAGCTGTGGAAAACCGCAAATTTTTCTCCCCTTTTCCCCAAACCCGGCACTACGGGGACATGAAACCTTCCACTATCGTCCCATTGCTCTTACCAGTGCGTTTGCAAAATGATGGAACGCCTAGTAAATAGACGTTTAGTGTGGTATTTAGAGAACACAAACAGTCTCTCCATCGTCAATATGGCTTTCGTAAGGGACGTTCTACCATAGACCCCCTTTCTACGCTTGGATACATATGTTCGTAATGCCTTTGCGAATAACCACTCAGTTATTGCCATATTTTTTGACCTTGAGAAAGGGATATGACACAACTTGGAGGTATAATATTTTGGCCCCAAACCCACTCCTTAGGCCTTCGAGGCAATCTACCATCCTTCCTTAAAAACTTTTTAACTGACAGGCATTTCCGTGTTTGGGTTAATAATGTGCTCTCCCCGGACTTTATCCAAGCTGAAGGTGTCCCCCAGGGATGTGTTCTGAGCACAACACTTTTTCTCCTTGCTATTAATGATTTGGCCTCTAGTCTTCCATCAAATATTTGGTCATCACTCTATGTTGATGACTTCGCTATTGCCTGTGCAGGCGCTGACTGTCACCTTATTACAGTTTCTCTCCAGCATGCAGTCGACCGTGTTTCCAATTGGGCCACCACACGTGGGTTTAAATTTTCCAGTACTAAAACCCACCAAATTACTTTCACTAGACGCTCTGTCATCTCCGATCATCCTTTGTACCTCTATGGCTCCCGTATCCCTGAACGTGATACAGTCAAGTTTCTGGGCCTCCTCTTTGACCGTAGGTTATCCTGGAAACCTCACATTACCTCTCTGAAGGCAACTTGTCACAGCCGGCTGAACCTTCTTAAAACCCTTGCTCATCTTTCATGGGGAGCTGATCGTCGAACCCTCCTTCGCCTACATTCCACCCTTATCTTATCGAAACTTGATTATGGTGACCAGATCTATTCAGCGGCATCTCCTGCTACTCTCTCTAGCCTTAACCCCATTCATCACCAAGGATTACGTTTATGCCTTGGTGCTTTTCGCTCTTCCCCTGTCGAGAGCCTCTATGCAGAAGCGAACGTTCCATCCTTATCCGATCGCCGTGATGCCCATTGACTTCGCTACTATGTACGCTCTCATGATCTCCGCAATCCTTCCATTTATAGAATGGTCACTGATATTAGTAGACATTCTTTATTTGTTCGCTGTCCCTGTTTACTCCGTCCCTTCTCTCTTCGCCTTCATTCGCTCTTGTCTTCTCTTCATTTACCACCTTTCTATGTACATGTAGCATCTCACTTTTCCCTACCCCCCTGGGAAGTTCCAGCTGTTCGAGTCTGTTCTTTCTCTCTCCCTTGCTCGAAAGCCCAACTGTCTATGGTCGCTTCCTGCTCTCTTTTTCATGACCACTTTCATTCTCATTCTCATGCCATTGATGGCGTAGGATTCGCAGCAGTGTTTCCGGACAGCGTCGTACAAGGGCATTTACTATCTTCGGCTAGTATTTTTACTGCTGAATTGTATGCCATCCTTACAGCACTTATCCGTATTGCATCTATGCCTGTGTCATCATTTGTGGTTGTCTCAAACTCCCTTAGTGCTTTACAGGCTATACAGAAATTTGATACACCTCACCTCTTAGTCCTCCGTATCCAACTTTGGCTACGCCGCATCTTTACCAAGCATAAAGATATTGTTTTTTGTTGGGTCCCTTGTCATGTTGACGTACAGGGCAATGAACAGGCAGACACTGCTGCGCGGTCAGCAGTACATGACCTACCACTTTCATGTAGAGGTATTCCATTTACGGACTATTTTGCTGCAATATCTTCCCAACTTCACACCCGTTGGCAACAACGTTGGTCTACTATGCTCGGCAACAAACTTCAATCTATTAAACCGAGTATAGGTTACTGGCCGTCTTCTTATCACCAGTGTCGAGGTTGGGAGACTACTCTCTCCCGTCTTCCCATTGGCCATACTCGTCTTACTCATGGATATCTCATGGAGAGGCGCCCTGCTCCTCTCTGTGAGAATTGCCAAGTTCCATTATCAGTGAGCCACATTCTGTTGGACTGCCCACTTTATCAACGAGCACACAGAATTTACCTCCGTCGTCGTCTTCTCTCTGCTGCTCTCTCTCTACCTTCCCTTCTCGCTGATAGACCCACCTTTCATCCAGACTCTCTCATTGACTTTTTGACAACAACCGACTTACTTCACAAATTCTGATACCTTCAGCCCTTTCTACTTCAATCTCTTGCTACCCTCTACCCCCGTACTATCCCCTGCCCGGCTGTTTTCTGTAACCTACTGATCATCCCTCCTCCCTTCTGCCATCCAATACCCTCGCTTCCTTCCCTACCCTGCAGCGCTGTATAGCCCTTGTGGCTTAGCGCTTCTTTTTGATTATAATAATAATACAGTGGACCCTTGCATAACGATCACCTCCGAATGCAACCAATTATGTAAGTGTATTTATGTAAGTGCGTTTGTACATGTATGTTTGGAGGTCTGAAATGGACTAATCTACTTCACAGTATTCCTTATGGGAACAAATTCGGTCAGTACTGGCACCTGAACATACTTCTGGAGTGAAAAAATATCGTTAACCGGGGGTCCACTGTACTGCATTATTGTGAAAATGGTATAAATAATATCAGCGCACTTGTGAAAGAATATTAGACTCGCCACTTGACATGTATTGGATGCATGGTGTGATTTGTTTACTCTTGAACATCAGCAAAAATCGAACATTTCTGCTACTTTGAGCTAAATTTCAATGTACTTTTCGTCATGAAACCAATCAAAATCATCTCTGATTCTGTAATATATCTTCCATTCTATCAAAAGAGACCAAGAAGACGAGAATGCAACAATAAATACCATACGAACATACACTGTAAATTCGCTGTTTTAAACTAAAAACATGGTCAAAATTTTTTTTTCTCATTATGCACTGCGTGCTTGAGGATTTTTTTTGTACTGCACACACTGACCACACAGACCCTTTCTTTCTTATGTAGGCCTATCAGCTTTGTTCCACCAGATTTGAAGGCGCTAGAATTTACGCATATAATTGTGACTGACCCTGGCCGTTAAGGCGTACATGTACATGACCGACCCTCAAAGGATTAATGCTACACTTTATTTCTGAACTTAACTGCTACAGTTTGTTTTTTATTTTTTGTTCACTTCACTTTTCACGGATTTACTGCTACACTCTTAATGCACACCTATGATTTCCTGCTTTAATTCTATGGACATCATCCTCTTTTTCTTCTCAGCACTGTCCTTTAGCACTTACTTTCTTAGGACCCATGGTTAGAAAAAAGAAATTTGGCAAAAGAACTGCACAGAATGCAAGCAAAACATGAGAAATGCTTCTATGGCAATGTAAACATGTGCACAGCTCAGCTGATGTTGTGGTGTTCTGTGCGCCAACTAGTGGCAGCGTTCTGAAGCTTGCTCTTGATTATTAATACATTATTATTATTATTATTATTATTATTATTATTATTATTATTATTATTATTATTATTATTATTATTATTATTATTAATTTAGGAAACTGGAGCACAGATTTAATTCCCAAGATCAAGAACTGGTGAGGGGCTCTTGATCTAGGGAATTGGATCTGTGCTCCAGATCCCTAAATTAATAATAATAATAATAATGATAATAGTAATGAGGAGCATCAAAACACTGCCAACTCAGTGCACTGTTTACCTTGCCATGAAAGCATTTCTCTCATGTTTTGCTTGCATTTGGTGCAGTTATTTTGCCAAATTTCTTTTTTCTAACCATGGGTCCTAAGAAAGTAAGTGCAAAGGACAGTTCTGAGAAGAAAAAGAGAATGATGTCCGTGGAATTTAAGCGTGAAATCAGATAAACAAGCAAGGTGTGCGGGTTGTGGGTTGAGGGGGGAAGCGAGGAAAGCTCTTCTTGTAACTGATGTTGGCTCATAACTCAGAGCAAAACATCGACCGAACGACAGCTCGTATATCAAAAAACTCGTATATTGGGACACTCGTCAGTCAAGGTTCTACTGTATTTGCTTGCTCAAATGGAATGTGGGAGAGTGAGGGTTGCCTCATCAGTAGTAATTAACTGGAGAAATTAAACCAAGTACAAATGACAGAATAGTACAAGGGAAACAAGAATGATATAAATTAAAAAAAAAAAAAAGGATTCTGATAGTCTCTAGTAGGAAGACAACTGATAGAGAGAGTAAATGAATGAATGAGAGTAAACAAGAGAGAAAAGGAATTAGAGAATGAGGGTTCATACATACACAATATATGTAAATATGCTGTATTAAGAAACAAATCCCAGCACTTGTAATATGAAATTTCCACAAAATTTCATGTCATCTTATTTTCAGATAATAGATGCCAACCAAGTTTATGACACCTTGAATTTAGGTCGTCGTATAGATGTGATGTGGCCAGATGAAGGGATGCGCAAGAGAGGTGGAAGAAGTTTTTGGGGTCACTGGGTGCCAGTGGAGGGCATGGAGGGACCTGTTGTTCACATGTGGACACCACACCACCTGGACCCCCGTCTTCGCTCACATGTGGATCGTATCATTCTCCTAGTTCAGATTGAGGATAAGTTTGTTCCGGTTGCCCAGAGTGCTGTACAAGACCTTGGGGCAGAAGTCTAGACTGCACTTCTCTTGTTACTGACTCAAAATTGTAATAGTACGATTGTAAACAATTCATGGAGTGAACAGGATTCAAAACGACTGCAAGCCAGTCCTAAAACTAGCGGGCCTGCGCTTTAACCATTGTACCATGCTGGCCTAATAAGGTTCGTCCAACTAGGTATAGTTCTATACACTAGGAAGGTTAGCAAGGGCACCACTGTGACCTCAAATGCAGGATTTTACAGACGAATCTCACACCAACATGGCTGTGGCAAGATCTAGCTCAAGAGATTTTTATGTTAAACATCACCTATAGCAGTCACCGCTGTTTGCTCTGACAATAGCCTCCCTTTTCATGTTTAAAAAATTTGAGCATGTATGGAGAATTTATTAATCTAATTTGATAAATTTTATTAATTGTTAATATTTATTTAAAAATCTTTTATTAGAACCCTTTTAAAAGATTTTAGATATTGTGCTAGGGGAAGAAGACATAAAGCATTCTTAAATCAAAAATATGTCTGGACTTCAGAGAAAGAAATATTGGTATGGTAGGTTGCAGTGTGACAGAGGCAGATGCATATTATCATACCTCATCTCCCGTATTTCGTGTGCTTCCGTGCATAATATAATTTTGTAACTGAAAAACCACTGCACTGTAGAAGCTCTGATTTCATATTGATATATGATATGAAGTTTTCAGAATACTTAGAGGTGTGCACGAAGTAGACAAAGTGCGCCAAAAATCTTGGTATCTATCACCTTATCCATTTGTTACGGAGCTAACCGGCAGCCTTCCAGGAGAAAGTAGTAAATTTATTCACATTGAAATAATACAGTATGTTAAGCATGGATGAAAGACTTTGAACACTAGCAGGTACTACTCAGTACACTACTTGTTCTTAAGAGAAGTCTCCAGTGCTCAAATTGTAAATACTACATACTAGGTACTTTATTGTGGGGGAGGGGGGTGGAGTAGAGTCTGATGTATAGTCAAGAACAGTCATTGCTTCATGAAAACAAACATTCTTAACATAGTGATAATTTATATTGTACATATTGGTTCTTAGATCAATTGCAAAGTGATACTGCTCATCAGAAGTAGAACTGAAATAAGTACCAGTAGTTTGTGTTCTCTCAGTTTCTCCTGGTAGATTGTCAGTGCACTCACATCAAGGTGATGTAGGTAAAGTTAGATTAAATTTTTAATTAATATGAATAGCACATTTTTTAATAATAATTTTTGACTTAAGAACTTTATACAAGTTAAACTTCGTCCATCCTATGATTTACTTTCCTTGTAAATGTGCCTGCCTGTGACACTTATTAGTCAAGTATCCTGGCAGTCATTTTATTCAGTACTGTACTTCCTAAAGCACATTTATCTTTTAGGATAAATCTTGAAAGCATGTGAACCATCCAGCTAGAATGTAAAACATAAACTATGATGAGTCATACATAGGAACTCTGTTAGGTGAGCCTACTATGTTGTGATAATAAGCAGGAGAGGGCATCTGTGACTTAATACAGTAATTACAATGATGACAAGTACTGTACTTACCCATTTATGGTGGATCTCTTGTGAATGATTTTCTTTTGTGAAGCAAACATTAATGGTCTTTGTCTTTCAATTTGTTGGTTCATGTCTTCATGATCACAATGTTGAAAGATGGTGCTGTGTAATACTTTCTAGAGGCTTCAGCCTTGCCATTCCAAAGGATGTTTTTATTCCTATGAGGGTAACATGAGGGATTTTTTTTGTATCAGCTGTCTTATGACTTCCATTCACTGTAGTGAGACTTTTAATTTAGTCTACCTAAAACATATGCAGTGAATATAGTTTTGTTCTCAGTATAAAAAAAATGTCTACAGTTGTGGAGAAACCAGTGTGATAATAAGGTTTTTGTTTATTTACTTTGAAGATATTTTTCTTTTTAATGATCACAGATACACAGACTTTCAGTGTGAAGTAATGTATACACACTTGAAACAAATGTCAGTTTCCTTGATCTAAACAAGAGGTTCTACCTTTTATAATTATTAGTAGACATTTTTCTTTGTTAGAAATGGCATAGCTGATATACAGGTACTTTCCTTACGAATACTATACCAGCTTGTAACTGATTGCTACACTGTACTTATAATTGATTGTTGGGTATTTGTTTTTTCATAATTAACTTAACAATAATTATACATAGGATAGTGTTTTGGATTTTTGTCATGCTTGTCAGAAATTGCCAAACATCTGAAACTTTATATGCAACACTGATTTTGGATATATTGATAAGAAAAGGCTGAAAACATCTGCTGAAACTTTGTTGCTTATTAGTTATCTCTGACATTGTAATTGTTAATCCATGATTCACTACCACATGTGTATAACATCACAATAACACACAAAAGTAACTGACATATAGTGGTGTGGGACACACAGCTGAATGGGTCTGGAGCTTCCTTCTGTCTGACCATTTGTGTATTTCATATCTCATTTGTTTACAAAAAGGAAGAATCTTTGCAAGTATTTTGAGTAACTAGCTGACTTACCATTTTTGAGCATTATAGCACTTGACAGAAATTTTACAAATATTTTGCTGATAACTTAGCTGTTACACTCTACCTTTTACATTCCTACTGGTAAGTACTTGCAACAGTATTTTAGCATTTTTTTACTGCCAATAATCAATTCAAGGTTTCATACAGATGTCTGTAAGTCTCTCAAATGTAGCATACTTTTAGTAGTAGTAATTGCTTCACTTTTATGATAGTGAAACTAGTATGTTAAATTCTTTTATGTATGTTTCAGGTTCTCTTTAAGAGGCATCTTATGCTGAAAGGTACCTAAAATGTGTGGGTAACAGTCTGCTCATAGCTAATCCCTCAAGGCTCAGGAGGAGTTTCTAAGGAGAATATGGCAACAAAAAATAAATTAATATACTTACCTACAAGGGGTGTGCTAAAGTATCAGTATCAGCTCATTTTTATGGTATCGGTATCAGCTTAAAATTGAGTATTTTTAATTGTATCAGTGAGTATTGGTAAATTTTGACAGTATTGGTATTAGTATTTGTGGATAGGGACTTAATTTTGAAGGTATCAATATCAGCAAAAATTTTAGTGTCATCACATCCCAATTGCCTACCATGAAATGCATTTACACCTTGTAGAACATTTTATATATATTTTCTAACTGCTGTACTTCTATCTGCATTTTTATTTTATAAAAAACTTCTAGTGTAACAGATTCATATTTTTGTATGTACTAGTTGAATTATGTAATGGTATTGAACCCTTTCACTTTCCAGACCCTCAAAATTAATATTGCTCGCAGTGTCCACTTTAAAAAAAAAAAAATTCTGAACGTAATGACACTAAAAATATGATATTTGATGGAAAACTTACAGAATTATGCAGGTGCAAAGTTAGCAATCTGGGGGCAGTTTATGCATCGGCCATTTCACCCATTTTGATCAAATTCTTAGCTATTTCACTAGTATGCCTTCCATTCTATCAGTTAAACACAAGAAACTGCCCATTCAGCTACTAGCGCTACCCCATCAAGTGTAGAAGAGTCAGTAATTTGGCCAATTTTACACAAAAAATATACCAATTTTAAAAATAGAGTGCAAAATCAACAATGTAGACATTTCTGGAACTAAAACAATATTTCCTCTGTGATCTAAGTGTAAGTAGAAGTAGCAAGACATACCTGAGATCTTGCATGTTTATGAGACAAAAAAGACACCAGCAATCCTACCATCATGTAAAACAATTACAGGCTTCTGTTTCACACTCACTTGGCAGGACAGTAGTACCTCCCTGGGCAGTTGGTGTCTGTCAACCTATTACCAAATTGTAAGAGTTAAAAAATTTAGCTAGATTTTTTTTTTAACCTTAATGGGTGTAACCCAGAGGAGAAAATGTCTGTTGGAGGGTTCTAACACTACACCACATATTACCCTCCGACTGCAACATCCCTACCCATCCTTTGGAGTGCAAGCACTGTCCTTCCCACATCCATCTCATCATTTTCTGTAGAATTCTGCATAGTGGTCTGAATTCCACACAAGTTTTTTATTACTAGCCTTCACTGTAAGACAGTACTGTGAAGAAGGACTGAGTATTTCCTTAGCAAGCAAGTAGGTCATAAAGAAGTACAAAAACAAGAAGAGACAGCAGTATACAGAAGTGAAAATGAAAACCCCCAGAACACAAACAGATATTGAATAATGGGCAGTGTGCTGGTAGATAAAATGTAGTAGACCTGCAATTGCTGCTGTAGTGTGTGTAGGTGAAGTTATATGAATGGTAATAATGCAACCCCTATTTATTTCTCTCATTAAAGAAATTCCAAATATAACTGATGCAGACTGGTGTACTAACTTAGTCAAGTGTCATTTATTTGAGTATATTTTGGCAGTTTCCAAAATTGGGCCTTAGTAGCAAGTTTTTGATTGTCTTAAGTTTTACTAAATGATCAGAGGGCTGAGGAGGGGTTGTTTAGATGGTATGGACATTTAGAGAGGGTGGAGAAAAATAGGATGACTAGGAGTCTGTGGAGACAAAGAACTTTGTCCTTCGAGGCAAAGAGGGGAATGTATGAGAGTATAGTTTTACCAACGCTCTTATATGGGTGTGAAGCATGGGTGATGAATGTTGCAGTGAGGAGAAGGCTGGAGGCAGTGGAGATGTCATGTCTGAGGGCAATGTGTGGTGTGAATATAATGCAGAGAATTTGTAGTTTGGAAGTTAGGAGGAGGTGCAGGATTACCAAAACTGTTGTCCAGAGGGCTGAGGAAGGGTTGTTGAGGTGGTTCAGACATGTAGAGAGAATGGAGCGAAACAGAGTGACTTCAAGAGTGTATCAGTCTGTAGTGGAAGGAAGGCGGGTTAGGGGTCGGCCTAGGAAAGGTTGGAGGGAGGGGGTAAAGGAGATTTTGTGTGCGAGGGGCTTGGACTTCCAGCAGGCATACGTGAGCGTGTTTGATAGGAGTGAATGGAGACAAATGGTTTTTAATACTTGATGTGCTGTTGGAGTGTGAGCAAAGTAACATTTATGAAGGGGTTCAGGGAAACCGGCAAGCCGGACTTGAGTCTGGGAGATGGGAAGTACAGTGCCTGCACTCTGAAGGAGGGGTGCTAATGTTGCAGTTTAAAAACTGTAGTGTAAAGCACCCTTCTGGCAAGACAGTGATGGAGTGAATGATGGTGAAAGTTTTTCTTTTTCGGGCCACCCTGCCTTGGTGGGAATCGGCCAGTGTGATAATAAAAAAAATAAATATAAATAGGAGGGTGTATAAATCTGGGGTGGAGGGAAGGAGGGGTATTGGTTGGAGTCTTCCTTGGAGAGGTTGGGGGGAGATGGTAAAGGAGACTTTGAGTGATAGGGGCTAGGACATCCAACAGGTTTGTGTGAGCATGCTAGATAGGAGTGAGTGGAGGCAAGTTGTTTTATGATTTGGCATGCTTCTGGAATGTGAGCAAGGTAACATTTATGAAGGGATTCAGGGTAACTGTTTAGCCAGACTTAAGTCCTAGAGGTGGGAAGTACATTGTTTTCATTCCAAAGGAGGGGTGGGGATGTTGCAGGTTGAAGAATCATTTGACCTGTGATATGCATCTGGCAAGAATGTGATCGAATGAATGATGATGAATGTGTTTTTCTCTGTTTCAGGTCACCCAGCCTCAGTGAGAAATGGCGGATGTGTTAAAAAGTGTATGTACAGTTTAAAAGATGAGAATACTGAAGGCAGTGCCATTGTTTCAAATATCTTTTAAATGAAATAAAGAGGTTTATGTGTAAGTATGTGTGTGTGTTACAAATGTCAAATGTATTCAGTTTCCTGAGTTCTTAAATATGAGTCTGAAAGTAAATGATTGTACTGTCATTGTTGGCTATGTATGGAAGTGAACAAGTGTGGGTGTGTTGAGCATGCAAGTGTTGAGGGTGAATGAAAGCATGCAAGTGTTGAGGGTGAATGGAAGCATGCAAGTGTTGAGGGTGAATGGAAGCATTTAAGTGTTGAGGGTGAATGGAAGCATGCAAGTGTTGAGGGTGAATGGAAGCATGCAAGTGTTGAGGGTGAATGGAAGTATGTAACTGTTGAGGATGTATGAAAATATGTAACTTTTGAACATGTGTGAAAATATGTAACTTCAGAATGTATGAAAGTATATAACTGTTAAGGGTATATGGAAGTAAGTTTTAAGAATATATGAAAGTGTATGTGTTGAGGATGTATGGAAATGTGCAGGTGTTGAGGATGTATGGAAGTTGATAACAAGTATAATGAACACTTGTCAATGCTGAGTAATAACCCAAATGGAGACAAGCTCAGAATATTAATTGGTTTGTATATTTCGATGCCCTTCTGGGATTCTCTTCAGCAGATATACGAGTGAAAAAGAACATGAATACTATATAGGGAAGGTTGCACCTCTTTCCGTACAAGGGAGTGTGCGTTGGGGGATGTGGCAAGTGGTGAGTGGGTGAGATAACAGGACCTGTAGTGAAGCTAAAGATTTAGGTAGGAAGTTCTTTTAAGAACATAAGAAGGAACACTGCAGCAGGTGTACTGGCCCATGCAAGGCAGGTCCATGTCTCCTCTCCAGCTTAGACCAGTGACCCACCCAGTCAGGTCACATCCACTTAAGGAAGGAGCATGGCATCTGACCTAGTAGCACAAGCTAGTCAGGTCCAACTCACAACCACTCATATATTTATCTAACCAATTTTTAAAACTACACGTTTTAGCTTCTATGACGGTACTCGGGAGTTTTTCACTCATCCACAACTCTATTACCAAACCAGTGCTTTCCTATATCCTTCGTGAATCTGAATTTTTCCAGCTTGAAACCATTGCTGCAAGTCCTGTCTTGGCTAGATATTCTCAGCATGCCATTTGCATCTCCTTTATTTATTCCTGTTTTCTATTTATGCACCTGTCATATCCCCCCTAATTCTACGCCGTTCTAGAGAGTGCAGATTCAGGGCCCTCAATCTATTCTCATAGGGAAGATTTCTGATACTTGGGATGAAGCCAAGGATTCTGTTAGCTTAATTGCAGACACTTATGCATTGTTGTGTTGGTTTCAGATTATGTACTGCTAACCAGAACTCCTAAGTCAAAGCTTTTTGCAATCGGTAATATTAAGATTACATTATTTAGTTTATATGTGGCATGGTTATTTTCCTGTCCAACATTTAGAACTTTGTATTTGTCTATATTAATCCTTTGACTGTCACAAGCCCCTTTCTGAAACTGTCATTCTGTAGCAAAATTTTTTGGAAAAAAAAAAAAAAAAAAAAAAAAAAACTTATGAAATGATAAGAGAATCTTTTCCAGATGGTAATGACACCAAAAGTATGAAATTTCATGGAAAACTTACGGAATTATGCTCCTGCAAAGTTAGTGGTCTCAGCGACATATACGCATTGGCGATTTCGCCAAATTTGAGCCCTGTTTTTGGCCAATTCCTTTGTTCCAGTTGACCAAACTCATAGCTATTTCTTTAGAACTCCATTTTTTCTATCAGTTGAGTACAAGAAACTGCCCATTTACCGATTTGAACTACCCAATAAAGTGGTAAGAAATTGGCAATGTGGCCAATTTCACACAAATTAAAAAGATGCCAATTTCAAAATAGGGTCCAGAAGAAAACATGTAGACATTCTTGGTACTAAAATAACATATCCTCTGTTCATTAGTCACGTCTCTAGGCCCCTCTTATATTACTATTGCTTTCTATTTTGATTTTTATTCATACAAAAAATACAAAATTTACTGTTATGCAGACGACTGCATTTTTGTAAAAATGGTATACATAATATCAGTGCACTAGTGAAAGAATATTAGACTCCCCAGTTGATGTGTATTGGACATGTGGTGTGATTTGCTTACTCCTGAACGTTGCTAAAATTCGAACATTTCTGCTACTTTGAGCTCAATTTCAAGGTCGTTTTCATCGTGAAACTAAACAAAATCATCTTTATTTCTGTAATATGTTTTCCATTTTATCACGTGAGATCTTGAAAACAAGAATACAACAATAAATACTACATGAAAATACACCTCAAATTCGGCGTTTTAATCCAAAAAAACAGTCAGTTTTTTTTTTCTCATTATGCACTGCGTGCTGCAGGATTTTTTTATGTGGTGCACACTGACCACACAGACCCATTTTCTCACATGTGGGCCTACCAGCTTTCTTGTGCTTGATTTGAAGCCTCTAGAATTATTGAGTATATATACGTCAGAAACACTGGCTCGTAAGACGTATATATACGACCAAAACAGTCAAAGGGTTAAACTGCATCTGCCACTTCTCCGACCATTGCAGCAGTCTGTTCAAATCCTGGAGTGCTCCATTGTCCTCAGTAGAATGAATTGGATGGCCTATTTTGGCGTCATCAGCAAATTTGCTTATGTCGCTATTTATTCCCTCATCTATGTTTATGTAAATTGTGAACAACAAGGGGACCAACACTGACCCCTGTGGAACACTTCTTGTGACATGCCCCTATTTTGATTTCTCCCCATTTATGCAAACTTTCTGCTGCCTATTTGTCAACCATGCCTCTACCCAGGATAAAAATTCTGTGCCTTACGTTTCCTCAATAGCCTCTGATGTGCTTTGTCATTCCTGATCTTGTATTAGGTTGGGCACTGGTATGTACTTCTTGGAAGGGTACAAGTATTTTGGGTGTATTGAAATGTACAAGTGTTTTGGATTCATGGAAGTATACAAGTGTTTGATAGGAGTGAATGGAGACAAATGGTTTTTAATACTTGACATGCTGTTGGAGTGTGAGCAAAGTAACATTTATGAAGGGGTTCAGGGAAACCGGCAGGCCGGACTTGAGTCCTGGAGATGGGAAGTACAGTGCCTGCATTCTGAAGGAGGGGTGTTAATGTTGCAGTTTAAAAACTGTAGTGTAAAGCACCCTTCTGGCAAGACAGTGATGGAGTGAATGATGGTGAAAGTTTTTCTTTTTCGGGCCACCCTGCCTTGGTGGGAATCGGCCAGTGTGATAATAATAATAATAATAATAATAATAATAATACAAATGTTGAGTTTGCATGAAGTATTCCAGCATTGAGGATGCATGGAAGTATTCCAGTGTTGAGGAAATGGAAATGTGAATGTGTTGATGTATGGAAGTGTACACTTCCATACATCAGCATTTGTACAAGTGCTGATGTACGGAAGTGTACAAGTGCTGATGTATGGAAGTACATGTATTTTAATTGATGTAATTAAAAACTGAACAGAAGCTAAGGTGTTTGAGTATAGATACAGCAGTTAACCCTTTGGGGGTTTCAGACGTACTAGTACATCTTACGACCCAGGGTTTTTGACGTACTAGTATGCCTGAATTCTAGCGCCCTCAAATCTAATGAGAGAAAGCTGGTAGGCCTACATATGTAAGAATGGGTCTATGTGGTCAGTGTGCGCAGTATAAAAAAAATCCTGCAGCACACAGTGCGTAATGAGAAAAAAAAAAACTTTGACCCTGTTTTTGGATTAAAACAGCGACTTTGCACTGTATTTTCGTATGGTATTTATTGTTGTATTCTAGTTTTCTTGGTCCCATTTTATAGAATGGAAGACATATTACAGAAATTGAGATGATTTTGACTGGTTTTACAATGAAAAGTACCTTGAAATTGAGCTCAAAGTAGCAGAAATGTTCGATTTTTACCAAAGTTCAAAAGTAAACAAATCATGCCAGGCGTCCAATACACATCAACTGGTGAGTCTAATATTCTTTCACAAGTGCGCTGATATTATTTATACCATTTCTACACTAATGCAGTAGTCTGCGTAACAGTAAATCTTATTTTTTTGTAAGAATAAAAATTCAAAGTGGAAAGCCAAAGAAATATAAGAGGGGCCTGGGGATGTGACTAATGAACAGAGAATTTGTTATTTTAGTGCCAGGAATGTCGTTCTTGTTTATTCTGGACCCTATTCGGAACTTGGCATCTTTTGAAATTTGTGTGAAATTGGCAAAATTGCTAAATTCTGACCACTTTATTGGATAGTTGAAATCGGTAAATGGGTGGTTTCTTGTACTCATTCGATAGAAAAAATGGAGTTTTAGCAAAATAGTTATGATTTTTGTTGACTAATACACTGGAATTGGCTGAAAACAGGGCTCAAAGTGGGCAAAATCGCCGATGCGTAAACATCGTCGAAGCCACTAACTTTGCGAGAGCATAATTCCGTAAGTTTTCCATCAAATTTCATACTTTTGGTGTCATTATGATATGGAAAAGATTCTCTATCTTTTCATAAGAAAAAATAATTTTTTTTTTTTTTTTGAAATTTGGCCGACCCTGAGAACAAGTCTCTGAGAGGACCTGTCGACCCCCAAAGGGTTAAGAGACAGGAATATGAAGACAGTAAATACTCAAATAATGGATGTGTATTATGTTACATTTTGGACTTAGTGCACAGCTTTTACCACAGTCTAATTAGAAAAAGTGAGCTTGAGAAAAGTGGAAAAACCATATATAAACTTCCTGAGATTTTGCGACGTTTCTTGCACTTTGTAAAATAACTTTTTACTTTAAGTACAGGCTTTGCATTGCTTGGATAAGATATTTTAATCTGGACTTAGTTGTTCCACTCCATCTAATTGGAAAGTAAAGGAGTTTTTTAGTGTTGACTCTTCACTTTGGTAACATAGTTCATAGCCATAGTCCCCAGAGAGACCATTTTAATAAGTGTTCAAGTGTTTTATGATTGTTGCATACATAATTATATACTTTATTCGAATATTTATTTGCTGCCATGTATATGTATACAGCCTATATACATTTATACAGTGATACCTCGCATATCTGGCCTGCCATTATCCGAAGCTCGCCAATATTCAAACAGGTCCTAAAATTATTACCGAAACATCCAAACAGCTGTTCAGATGTTTTCTGCCTTCTCAAAAACTGGAAAAAGTGCCAAAAGAAAAGTGATGGCGAAGCCACGGAGCTTGGAACTCAATCAGTGCATGATGAAGTGGTACCTACAGCAACATGGTAGTGGTATGATGGTTCGTGGCACCGAACTTAAAATGGCTGCAGCTACAGAAATCCGGGAGGCTGTTATTCAAGCCTCACCTATCTGGAAACTCCATGTTTCCAAACCGGTCTCGGCGCATATAGTTTTGACATGAGAGGTATCACTGTGCATGTATTTTTTTCCCAACATGCTGGCCATCTCCCACCAAAGCAGGGTGGCCCAGAAAAGAAAAACACACTTTCACCATCATTCACACACAATCACTATCTTTGCATAGGTGCCCACATATGACAGTTTAGATGTCACTCTAAACAGTCAGAATTAAATAGTGATTATATATGAGTGAGGTGAAAGTGTTGAATGATGATAAAAGTATTTTCCTTTTGAGGATTTTCTTTCTTTTTGGGTCACCCTGCCTTGGTGGGAGACGGCTAACTCGTTGAAAATATATATATACATGTATATAGGTTGGTAGACAGCAGCCGCCCAAGGAGGTACTACCGTCCTGCCAAGTGAGTGTAAAACGAAAGCCTGTAATTGTTTTACATGATGGTAGGATTTCTGGTGTCCTTTTTTTCTGTCTCATAAACATGCAAGATTTCAGGTATGTCTTGCTACTTCTACTTACACTTAGGTCACACTACACATACATGTACAAGCATATATATACACACACCCCTCTGGGTTTTCTGCTGTTTTATTTCTAGTTCTTGTTCTTGTTTATTTCCTCTTGCCTCCATGGAGAAGTGGAACAGAATTCTTCCTCCGTAAGCCATGCGTGTTGTAAGAGGCGACGAAAATGCCAGGAGCAAGGGGCTAGTAACCCCTTCTCCTGTATATATTACTAGATGTGAAAGGAGAAACTTTTGTTTTTCCTTTTGGGCCACCCCGCCTCGGTGGGATACGGCCGGTGTGTTGAAAGAAAGAAAAAGAATATAGTTTTTATTGCATTTATGGATTTAGAAAAGGCATATGATAGAGTGGATAGGGGAGCAATGTGGCAGATGTTGCAAGTATATGGAATAGGTGGTAAGTTACTAAATGCTGTAAAAGTTTTTTGAGATTAAAACCCAGTTATAGGTGAGTGGGGGGAAAAAAAAGTGTTTGAAGGGGGATGTGAAGTACCTGGGTTTTTTTTTTATGTGGGGTGAAAAGAAAGAAAATGTAGGGTTTTTCATAATATTATATATTATAATTAAATAAAAATTAATTAAATTTTTTTATATACTTTTATAGATTTAAAAAAAAATTAAATTATATATTTTAATGTTAAATAATAATTAAAACCAACATAAAAAGAGTTAAGGTGAGAGGCGGGTTTTATCAAATGTTTAGGAATAAAAAAAAAATTGGGAAAATTTTAAAATTTTGGGGAAGGAAAAAGTAGGGAAAAAAAATTTTTTCAAAAAAATGAATTTAGTTCCCAAATGAAAAGGATAAAATTAATCATATTTTTTGGGGGGATCGGTGGTGGTTGAGGGATGGGGGGAAAAAACGTTTATGGAGGAAAAAGAAGGGGAATTTCATAAATTAGGGGCAACCTTTCCGTGGGTACTTTTTTTTAATGCCACAGGGGGTTGGAGTCATGGATTCCTGCCCAAAGGGCTGTAGTTTTAATTTGCAAAAATTGGGTTAACATTGTTTGGGAAATAAAAGCATTCAACAGTGTGGGGGATTTTTTAAAAAAGGGTTGGTGTTAACCCCATGGAAAAATTTTTAAAATTTTTGAATGGAAAGGATTAAATCTATTTGGGGGAGAAAATTAAATTTCTTACCCCATCAAATTTTTAAAGGGGGAAAGAAGGTTTTTGGGCCCATGGCCTTATTTCCACAACGGCCAACCTGTTAATAGATGGAATGGAGAAGGGGAATTAAAACATGGGACGCGGACATGTGGAGGTGGCTGGGGACATTTGGAGATTCGGGAAACCGATTCTGTCGGCTTTTGCCCTATATGGGGTAAAAAATTTTACTTTTAAAGGGGGTTTGGGATTTGGCGGGGTTTTGGGGGATGTTTTTATTTTATATATATGTTTAAATTTTATTTAATTTAAAAATATAATTTATTTAAATTTAATATAATATAAAGTATTTTTTTTATTTTTTTTTTTTTATTTAAATTTTATAAAAAATTTTTTTATATTTATATATATAATATAATTTATTTATTTATTTATTTATTTATTTATTTATTTATTTTTAACAAGTCGCACACATGCTGTTCGGAGTGACATCTAAACTGTCATATGTGGGCACCTCTGCAAAGACAGTGATTGTGTGAATGGTGGTGAAAGTGTTTCTTTTTTGGGTCACCCTGCTTGGTGGGAGATGGCCAGCATGTTGTATATATAATCAAAGGAACTCTAATTTTGAGCTTTCCTTAACAGGCAAGAATCACTATATATTGGCAGATGCCATCTTAAATGCTTTGTTGCATTAATCGAAGTGTGATTTAAGTAAAATATTTCTTATTCTAATACAGTGGACCCCCGGTTAACGATTTTAATCCGTGCAAGAGGGCTCATCGTTATGCGAAATAATCGTTATGCGAATGAATTTTCCCCATAAGAAATAATGGAAATAAAATTAATCCGTGCAAGACGCCCAAAAGTATGAAAAAAATTTTTTTTTACCACATGAAATGTTAATTTTAATACACACAAACTGAAAAAGGCATGCACAATTAAATGACACTTACTTTTATTGAAGATCTGGTGATGATTGATGGGATGGGAGGAGGGGAGAGCATTATTTTCTTTATGTTTAAAAGGGGGAAACCCCCCTTTCCCAAATTAGGACTTGAGGTAGCAAGTCCTTTTCTGGGGTTACTTCCCTTCTTTTTTTAATCCCACTAGGACCAGCTTGAGAGTCACTGGACCTCTGTCGCACAACAAATCTGTCCATAGAGCTCTGTACCTCCCGTTCCTTCAAGACTTTCCTAAAATGGGCCTAACATTGTCATTGAAATAGTCACCAGCACGGCTTGCAACAGCTGTGTCAGGGTGATTTTCATCTATAAAGGTTTGCAGTTCAACCCACTGTGCAAAAACATTTCCTTAATCTTTGAAGTAGGCACAATGGATTCCACAACTGGCATAGGCTTCTCAGGGTTAGCCCCAAACCCTTCAAATCTTTTTTAAATTTTCCCATACAAAATCTCCCCCTTTTTACCACAGGGTTGGCACTAGAAGCTTTCTTGGGGCCCATGGTCACTTATTTTCCAGAAACAGCACCGAAAACACTGTAATAATACGAAATATTCCGAGTGTATGCTTGGATGTTACCGCGGAGGCTGGCTGGTAAACAATGGGACGGCCGGCACATGTGAGGGCACATTGGACGCGTCTCGGACGAAAATCGGTAAGCGGGTTTTTAATCGGTATGCGCGGCAAAAATTTTGCGATAAAAGTAATCGGTATGCGGAAAAATCGCTATGTGATGCCATCGTTATGCGGGGGTCCACTGTATTGTTAATTTCTAAGATAGGAATTCGGTTGCCCTCCTCAAGGTGTGATAGTTTTTGCTTAGTATAAATGAACTGTGTTTAAAAAGAACACAGTTAATACATCTATGATTAGAAGAAAAAGTGCAGCATATTTTACTTGTGTATAATTTTCATGCAAAGAACATAGGAAAAATTGATTGTTTCTATATTTGTTAAACTGGTGATATGTATTGCAGATTCATTACTCCTGTTCATTAATATTTTTTATGCAGTATTGCAGATTTCACTTTAACACAGCTTAGATTTTCTCTAAGTCCCTCCACTTTTTGTTAGCTTTCCTGCATATCACTCTTGCTTTACCTCTTAGACTTAGTCTGTGTCTGCTAAAACTTGGCTTGCTCCTGTTGGTGCATTAAGAGACCACTATTTGTATTTTTCCATCACAGATCCTTGACCCTCATTTCAATACTATTGACTGAATTTTTGGTTAGTCTTTAAGTTCAGGCTACAGCCATCTGTGAACAAGTGTTCTGAGATACCCCTTGTATTCTACTAGTTCAGCCATTATGTTGGTATTTGTATATTTGTTCCACTAAACCTTACCACTCATTAGGGTTTGCTTGTGTTGCCTTGTATATTACACATACTCTGTTTTAATTCCTCCCTTAGTTATGTGTCAAGCCAGCAATACCTTCAAAATTTTTTTACAGCCCAAAATATTTTTTCTTCATGCTGTGGTAGTCATGCAACATTCCATGTTCTTGTTTTAATATTTTTTTATCACAAGTTGCTTTTATATTTTTTTTATAAAATGTTAAGACATTGATAGCCTTAAACAGTATTCTATACCATTAAGTTCAAAACAGTTAAACAGTGTTACTATACCCTTAGGTTCAGAATAGTTTAGCTCAAATACAGTACAGGTTGGCCATCATTAATCTCGCACTTACTAATCCGGTTCCATCAGTAATCTGGCACTAATTTCGGCTAGCATAATTTCAAATTTCCAGGGTCACTGCACCAACCTGCAGTTACTGTTTGGTGGCGTTACTTGCTGCTTAAGCCATTCCAATTTGTTTATCTCCATTTATAGTTATAACCTGCTCACTTTTAGCCATAGCCATGGGTCCAACAAATAAAGGAAATTTTTCTCGTTGTGTAAAGCACAAGCATGCTACATTGTCCGTAAAAGATAAGGTGGCTTTGAAGCCACTGTCGGTCCTGTGGTATGATGCCGTGAGCTCAGCTCACTCAGATAAGCTGTGACCAGTAAATTTGAGCCTACATATGAGAGAATAGGTCTGTGTGGTAAGTGTTTGCTATATAAAAAAAATCCTTCTGCATGCAGTGCATGAGAAAAAACTGCGACTGTGTTTCTGGTGTAAAACAGCGACTTTGTGGTGTATTTTCGTATGGTTTTTATAGTTGTATTCTCGGTTTTTTGGTCTTGGTTGATAGAATGGAAGATGTGTTACAGAAATTGAGATGATTTTGATTAGTTCAGGATGGAAAGTACCTTGAAATTGAGCTCAAAGCAGCGAAAATGTTCGATTTTTGCTGGTGTTCAAGAGTAAACAAATGATGTCACCATCCAGTATGTGTCCAACTGGCCTGTCTAATATGCGGTCATGAATGGGTTGACATTATTTATACAATTATTACAATAATACAGTAGTCTGAATAACAGTAAATCTTCTATTTTTTGTGTAAAAATAAATTGGGAAAAGAACGTTTTAAAAGGGAAAACAACTAAAGGACAAAGAAAATAGTATTTTAGTGCTAGGAATGTCTGCATTGTTTATTCTGGACCCTACTTTGAAATTGGCATCTGAAATTTGTGTGAAATTGGCCAAATTACTTACTTCTAACCACTTTATTAGGGGAGTTGAAATAGGCAAATGGGCAATTTCTTGTACTCAATCGACAGAATAGAAGCAATACTAGCCTAAAGTGGGCAGAATCGCTGATGTGCAAATATCGCTGTTGGGTTAAGTGTATTCTGACTTACTCTGTAATCCGGCAAAATCACTAATCTGGCACCCTACAGGTCCCAATGATGCCGGATTAGTGATGGTCAACCTGTAATTTGGTAGCGCTGATGTGAGGGAGGATGAGGTATATCACGAAGAGGAAGATGAAGCTATAATTTTTGGGCCTAGAACACCAGGTCTTGGGGTGATATGAGGTCCATCTGTATTGTTGCCCACAGTCACAGTTTCAAATTAGGTACAGTTGTTTTAGTGCTTGTTGATTCACTAGATGCAAGGCTTGAGAATTGATGGGGTGATACTTGTTTACCATACTTGGCACTTGCTTTCATGAAATGGTGAGTGAAATTGAGACTTTTTGAGATTGCTATTGATTTAGCCTTCACTAACTATATCACTAAAGGAATGCTTAGGACGTAGCATAACTTCTTCACTATCACTGCCATTGGTGATGTTGGCATTGAGATTGTGGTAGGAAGAAACCAACACTATGCATACTCTTCTACTGGTGACAGTTCCAAGCTCACACTCTTGCTGTTGTTTCTTAATGATGCTATACATCACAGGCAGGCAAGTTCAACCATACATATATATTTATTTATACAGTGTGCCTGCATATG